ACGCCATATGTATATCATCACCAAGCCAGCCAATAAGGGATCCTTTTCCTTCTCCATCCCGCTCAAGCACGTCTTTGGCTTTGCCGAGGACTACGATAAGATCGTGTTCGTATTCAAGCACGAGCTCTCCCTGGTGCGCGATTCGGATGCAAATGCCATCCTCCGAGCCGCCGCCGTCAACGACGTGGCCAGAGTGCACTTGGGCAAGGTCTCCTGGTTTGTCCCCCACGTCATTCCCTCCGACGAAAAGAAACTGCGGCTCTATAAGACCATCCAGAGCAAGACCAAGATCGATTGCGGATTTCGTATGAGACAGTGCGACTCCATCGCCGTGCCCCAGACCTCACAATTTCACTGGTGTCTAGCCGCTAAAAGCGGGCGAGTAAAACCGCGATGGATCATCGTCGCCTTTCAGACCGAAAGGGACAATGACCAGGTGCATAATGCCGCTGTCTTCGACCACTGCCGATTGCGAAATATCCACGTGACCCTCAATGCATAGCGCTATCCCGCCGTGGACTTCAATGCCGGCTTCACCCAATGCAGGGTCGCCAGGGTCTATACGGAGGCTGCCGAATTCCGCAAGAAATTCTATAGCATGGAAAGTCTGCTGAGCAATGGCGGCATCAATCCCTTCGACTTCATCGATCTCTATCCCCTATTCGTCATCGACGTGAGCCATCAGTCCGAGCGGTTGAAAGAGTCGACGGTGGATATCTAGATCCGAGCCGACTTCGAGTGCAACGTCCCTGCCAATACCCAAGCCTTCGCCCTGGTCATCTCCGATCGAATCCTCCAATTCGAATCCAATGGTCAGAAGATGAGCGTCGTCTTCTGAGGAGGGTTAGATAAATGGACGCTTCACTTTTGCGGAAAATCGCCACCAATACCGAGCCCAAGCATGGGTTTTCCTTCATCGTCTCTGGAAACGATAGCCAAATCCTTACCCGGTTCAACCCCCCACTGCAACTCAAGGAATCCAAGGCCTACGAGATGGCATTGGTAAACCTGGAAACCTACTACTCCATCCTTAACATTCACGCAGGTAATAATTCCTTCCGCTATTCTCAAGACGAAGGTGTTACCTAGTTTCCCATTGTGTTGAGCACTGGCTCGTACGGTATAGATGAAATTAACAATGAGGTCCAGCGACAGATTCGTCTCAACCAGCACAAAACTAAGATCATCATCGATGCCAACCGGTCGACGCTGAGAGCAACCCTGACCCTAGCCAGACGCTTTCAAGTGGACTTTGATGTTGAAAACAGCCTTAGCACCGTGTTGGGGTTTGGGCGACGACTCTACACTTTTGATAGGGTTACAAATGGTTACACTGAGGGTGAACACATTGTGAATATCATCAGCATTAACAGCATTCTGGTGAATAGTGATATCATCCATGGGAGTTATGTGAACGGTACCCAGCAGCCCACCATCTACAGCGTCTTTCCCGCAGTCGATCCTGGTATGAAGATCATTCAAACCCCCAAGAATCTAGAATACTTGCTGGTGACCTTGCGAACCATTAATCGCATGCAAACGTATCTCACCGATCAAAACGGTAGGTCCATCGATTTCAGGGGTGAACATCTCATCATCCGCTTTCATCTTCGTGAGGTATAAATAAATGACTTATCACGAGCATGGTTTGAGTTTGACAAAAGGTCAAGCTGATAAACTACAACGGGCTGGCAAGAAAGGTTGTCCGGTCTTCCATTCGTTTGTCCCACGCAAACCTGCAAGGCGAACACAAGATGTGGCTCACCACCCACCAGGTTCAAAAGATCGTCAAGCTCCTACAGAAGGGTACTGGTGGCATGGTCCTAGAGTTGAGTGCGACCCAATTGAAGGAAAACATGCAGAAGGTGGGTGGCTTCCTACCCATGCTGGCAGGGCTTGCAATGAGGGCACTCCCCATGTTAGCAAAAACCATTCTACCCGCCTTGGGTGTTGGAGCCTTGAGTGATCTAGGGGGTGTAGCCGTCAACAAGGCCTTAGGGTCTGGATTGTACCTTAAACGTGGTGGGTGTGTTTGTACCGTGAAACCTATTGGCGGCGGTCTCTACCTCAAACCCTCAAACGCCCGGATCAACTATGGTGATGGACTCTACTTGAAGCGTGGTCAGCAATTCCACGACGGAGCCGGTTTGATTTTAGGTCCTAACAGCCCCTTCAAAAATATTCCCCTCCTCGGTATGCTCCTATAAATAAATGAATCAAGTAGATGCCAGTCATATCGCATGCATGGAAGAGGAGCTCACCGCAGAAATCCGGAAATATGAGCATGCGTTGAAGATCTACAACCGATTGGATAAGGTCATCTCCATTGCCATGGGTTGGTGCTGCGTAGGCAATCTATTGCTGACCAGTGGTACCATGGGGTCTGCTCTGACCGGTGTGGGTGCTGTGGCATCCATTCCCCTAGGTTCCCTCACCTGTATATGTGCCACGGGGATAATAATCCTATCCTTGATCTCACGCCGAGTCGCCAAGAAGAAAAAGAAGCATCGAGACACCGATTAGCCAAAACCTACAAGTCCCAGGTGGCAGGTGAAGACGGTGCTCCTGCAGTCTGCCTGAAGAATTACTACGATGAAAAGGATAAGCTTCGTCAACCTTCTACCCCAATAAGTGAAGAATTAAATGCGCATGCGCCGTAGGGAGGGTTCTTCCAATCGCGCCTCGCTCCCCGCTTATTCCCGAACCCTCCAGATCAAAGTGCTAAGTGACCAAAAAAAAAAAAATTTCCCAATCCGCTTTGGATTGGGAAATTTTGCGTCCTTACCCCTAGCCCTCGGTTATTTTTTTTTTTTACTTCCTCACCAGATCGTATGAGAGATACTCCTGCTTGGACTTTTTGCTGAGCTTGAACCCAGTGCTTCGTACGAAGGCTCCTTGCAAGGGATCTTTCTCCTTATTGAGCGTGGGGCAAGCCCATACTCTACTGGTTCCTCCTTGACGGTCCTTCAGGGTGAGTATTCTGCTTTTGCCAAACTTACCTTCGACTTCCACCACCTCCAAGATCTTATAAATCACCCCGGTGGGTAAGTCCTTCCATTTGATGGCTTCCTGATTCTGGTCCTGCACCTTTTCCTGAAAGGTGTCTTCGCTGATGAAGTCATCTGTGTCGACGAAACCATTGTGCACAAAAGTCATGATTTATTATACGCTAAGAAGGGACGCTGTCGGATTGCATCTTAGCCTCGGGGTTGGGGTCCTATGCAGGTTTTGCCCTTGAAAATTGAAAGTGTCGCAGAATCGGCCTTTTGACACTACTCTCCCACTCGCAAGCCATCGTAGATCAGTGGAATATAACGACTGTATTATTCGGGTTATATTTCAGCTTCAGAACTTAGAGAAAACACTTTTTTAGTATTTTCTGTCAATGTTCCCTCAAGAAGTGATTTGTTTACAAAAAAGGAAACATTAAGTATATAATATATATGAGAATGCAGTTAAGATACTAAACGTTCTAAATAAATAAAATAAACACAGTCCACCAAAATTGTAAAATCAGTCTTTTACTATTTTCCCCTTTCCCTTAAAACAATTAAATTCACTTATTGTGGACAGGTTTACGCTAGGGGCAGCCAGCGTGTTGCTATAACTACACATCTAGCGACCACCTATGTATTGTTTTAGTAACCGTAATATGCAAGGACAAGGTATTCTTTTTAGCATGACGGATGCCATTAGTGGAGCAGAATCTACTTAATATTCCGAAGCACCTAAGAACACATTTAAGTTTTTTTTTTCTTAATTCGTGTACCTCCGTTTTTAGGTTTTCTATATACCATTTTGTAGACATATATGTCTTTTCGTCATTTTTCGTTTTTTTACATAGCGATATCAGTTTCTCTTCGACTTATGAATGTTAAATGGAATCTTCCGCTTCGTTTCTTCATTGGGTCATTAGTTGATAATGACAGCAATTTCGAATTAAGTTTGATTTAAATATCACCTTTATAATTTCTTATTTTTTACGACGTCGATTTGTGCAATCAACTAGAAAAATTAAAAGACGTAGTTTTCATCATCAATTAAAGAGATAATGTGACCGGATGATTAATATCCCGATTGACTAATAAAATGAATGCTAAAGGCAACACAACAAATGTCATTAGTGTTGCGGGAAGAATTTAAATTTTACCTCTGAACCGTTTAGAGCACCTGAGTTCAGCATCAGTTTTTGGTAGGGTTCGTGTTGATCAGGTCCACGTGTTGATCAGGTCCTCAAGATTTTAGTTCCTGGAAGTGTTTTGTGGACTGTTGTCGGTCTTTTTGTCCTTTTTCTTTTGATCATGGTGTTGTCCGTTTTTCTTCGACGCATGATATTTGATTCCCGTCTTGGAATCTTTTCCTTCCATTTAAAAGAAACAGAACGAAGATAACAGAAGATAACAGGGGCTTAGCTGACTATACGGTATGGTAAATCTGACTTTACGGTATGGTAAATCTGACTTTTCGATATGGTATATCTGACTATACGGTATGGTAAATCTGACTGTTCGATATGGTATATCTGACTTTACGGTATGGTAAATCTGACTGTTCGATATGGTATATCTGACTTTACGGTATGGTAAATCTGACGTTTCGATATGGTATATCTGACTTTACAGTATGGTAAATCTGACTTTTCGGTATGGTATATCTGACTTTACGGTATGGTAAATCTGACTTTACGGTATGGTAAATCTGACTTTACTGTATGGTATATCTGACTTTACGGTATGGTAAATCTGACTTTACGGTATGGTTAATATGACTTTACGGTATGGTAAACCTGACTTTACGGTATGGTAAACCTGACTTTACTGTATGGTAAATCTGACTTTACGGTATGGTAAATCTGACTTTACGGTATGGATTTTGCTCATTTGGATAGTCGTCTCATTGGCAATCATACCACATGTTTTAAATTTGTATAGTCTTTCAAAATAACGTAAATTTAAAGTGTTATCAAAATTACTATTTGATACAATAAAGAAACAATCCTATCGGAGACAGTAGACCTTTTAAAGTCTGTTTATTAAATTGGAAAACTAGAGGCTCTAAAGAGCCTGTGTCGCTCACCTTGGTCTATGTGCATATTCAACAAAGGACACTCTCCAACATTGTAGACGAGAATAGAATTCATGACAAAAATCTCTATTTTGTTGATCTTGTATTACTGATCTTTTAGTCTGTTAAGTGTCTCTCTATCTTCTTTAGTTTTTGCTCAAATCACAGTAGAGGGTAAAATAAATCCTAATTTAAGGGCAATCACTCCTTAGAAGAGTGACAGTCTACTAACTATATCGTTAAAATTTGACTTTTTAATAGATCTTGCTTTGCTGATCATTTTTGTGATATAAAGTGTCTATTTATCTATTATAATTTAAATCATATATGGCATACTAGTAACGGAAAAAATGTTTCTCTCTAGATATCAGTTTTTATGATAGAAGGCAAAAGTGAAAAAAAAATGTGAAATTTGTCATTTATGGGCAATAACTCCTATTAGAATTTGTCTAACAGTTTTGACGTATATGGACAATTGGTAGAGCTCATTATTTTGAACATTTTTGCTCCTTTCAGATTTTCTCTATTTATAACGGTTCAAAAAACAATAGGCAAAACATACATTTTGCCCCTATGTTCTATTTTTAGCCATGTCGGCCATGTTGGTAGGTAGGCTGGGTCATCGGACACATTTTTATGCTAGATACCCTAATGACGATTGTGGTCAAGTTTGCTTAAATTTATCTCAGTAATTTCAGAGGAGAAAATTTTTGTAAATTTACAAAAAATTGTTAAAAATTGACTATAAAGGGCAATAATTTTAATCCTTAATGGGTCAATTGACCATTTGGGTCATGTTGACTTATTTGTAGATCTTACTTTGCTGAATATTATTGCTGTTTACAGTTTACAAATGTATCTCTATCTATATTAATATTCAAGATAATAACCAAAAACTGAAAAATTTCCTTAAAATTACCGATTCAGGGGCAGCAACCCAAAACGAGTTGTCTTATGCGTCTGAAAATTTCAGGCCAGAGTTTGGTTTTATTTGGCTTAGTACAACAAAATGTAGTTTCAGAGGAGAAGATTTTTGTAAAAGTTAACGGACGACGACGGACGACGGACGCCAAATGATGAGAAAAGCTCACCTGGCCCAAAAGGGCCAGGTGAGCTAAAAATGGTAGTGATTTTAAGTTTGCACTTGAATGAAATCTTGTTGCGTTAATGACCAAATCTAACAAGAAATCATACCTCTACCTTATATTTTATTTGAAAACTCTTAAAACATGAAATTTAATAAAATCATAGAACCAAACTTATTTTTATTGTCGCAGGTACGAGTTAAGCTGACACAATTTTATTAAATCTTTATACATTGTATTTGTAGATCATCATGAATTTTTCCTGACTTGCTGACTATTTTCAGTATTCTCCTTTTTCGTTAATGATTTTAGCTTTCCATTTGAAACATTACCTGTGACATTCGTTGATTTATTTCTATTTTTTTATTTTCTATTTCCTTTATATTACATCTGATACCAGAAAAGAAATAAAAAAAAACAATTTATGTAATAATAACGAGAAAATTCTAAGAGCCTGATTCGCTCATCTGCAAAGTTTGACTGTTTCTAGTTTCAACTTATCTTTAATAGTATTCGAGGTAAAAGATAAAAACTAGAAATAAGAAAAAAAAATCTTCAGTTAATGCCAAAACCTCTATAAGGAGTTACAATGTTCCAACGCAATTTTTGCATATTTGTAGATCTTGGTATCGTTGATCAGTTTTGCTGTTCACAGTTTTAATATATGTGTTAAGGTTTTCGAGATAACAAACAAAAGGCATAACTTCGGCAATATTGACTTATTGTAGATCTTATTTTGTTGAACAGTTACACTAGCTCTGTCTATCTATATTTATAGTTTCTGCAAAAACAAAAACTGGTAAAAATTGATTTGTAAGGGCAGTAGCTCCCATAAGGAGTCAATTGATAATTTCAGTGATTGTTGACATATTTGTAGATTCTCTGCTAAACATTTTCTCGATAACACTGTCGTTCTATCTATGATAGTTTCTGCAAAATTGAAAAAAGGTAACAATCTCCTTAAAAGGGCAATAACTCCTACAAGGGATCAATTGACGATTTCGTAGATCTTGTTTTGCTGCACTTTTTTGGTAAAAATCGTCTGTTAAGGACAAAAAATCCTATAAAGAGTCAACTGACAATTTTGGTCATGCAGACGTAATTTGATCTTATTTTTATTAAGTATTCCCTCTTTCTACCATAGTTTCCGCAAAAAAATCACAAAAAATTAAAAATTATCATTCAACGCCAATAACTCCTATAAGTGTTAAGTTGACAATTTCGGCAATGTTCATGTATTTGTAGATCTTTCTGTTGTAGTTGCTTCAAAATGGGTTTTCAAACTATTCTGAATTCTCCTGGATATAGACCTTGACCTGCTGATCATTTTCTTCATGTCAGTTGTCCTAAAAATAAACATTTCAGGGGCAATGATCATGTTTAACCCAGTCAATTTTTCTCTTACTGCAGATATATGCCAAACCTGCATTTAACCCCCGTGTTCTTTTTTTTAGAAACAGTAGTGACATTGTTGTTAATAGATCAAGTAACCGGAGACAGCTTTAAACAAGATTGCGTAATGAAAATTAAAATCAAGTTTGGTAACATTTAGCCCAGTTGTTTCGGAGGTGAATATAAAAAAAAGTTTACAACGACGGACAAACAGGCGTAGGACGATGACGACTGACGCCAAGTGATGAGCTAAACATGATAATGATAATGTGTCATGGCTACGTTTACATATGGACGGAGTTTAGATGTTTCAATTTTTGCACGAATTGATAAGCTATTTATTGCATCAGTACTTTTTAAGTAGTTAAAAAGTTTGATCAGAAAGTTAGGTGTCCTTTGTAAGTAAATGATTCTGTTATAGTTCTTATTACATGTACTATGATTTGCAAATTATTCAGGTTCGATTACATTACTAGTATATCAATGAATGTTCTATTGTAATAGTATTTGTCTCACTGTAGACACAATGTCAATTTAAAAAAGCTGCCTAGAATGATCATTAACTTTCTGATTATCTAAATCATCTAATACACAGATTACATTCCTTGATGACGATGCCAAGAATAAAACCGCCAACAAAAACTATTGATACTATTACAAATATTGCAAGTCCAATGAGTCCAACAGTCTGGTCTTTTTCTTGTTCCTGAAGACCTAAAAATAAGAATAATTCATTATATTATTGTACAACGTGTATAATAAAATCATCGTAAATACCAGGATTGAAATTTTGTATTTGCGCCAGTAAACAATTATTAAATTATACTACAATCTGATTAAAATGCAGATCCTGTATCCAAGCTTTGCTTATTCAAGGATCTGACAGCACACTGTTCTACTTTCTTTTCTGATAATCTTTACATCAGCCAATGAAATTTCAGCCTTCAAACTTATGAAAATGTTTATAATTTGAGGACAAAACTTGGGGATGCCGAATGGTCTTTTTATCAGAACGTAGACCAGAGCGTTGTCGAATCCTTGAGTATTTAACCTAAAATTACCATAAAGCACATATTTTTGGGTTAACAAATATGTGAGTAACATCTTTACCCTGAAAAAAATATTTTACAGACATTTATATCTTTGTAAAATGCATTTTATAACAAATATCTATTGGGATTAAGCTGTTGCTCATATCTAAGATCTCAAAATGAGGCTGTTTTGCACAAAATATAAGACGTTTGAAGCCCTAATGCCAAAATGTAAGACAAACGAATTGTCTTTTTATCAGAACGTAGAACGGAGCGTTGTCGGATCCTTGTAAGCGAAGTGTGTACATAGGATCTGTATTTCAATTAGATTGAGTATTATACATTTTTAAGTGTTTTGACATAAAATTGACAAAAAGAAATATCTTCAAACAAAAATATTTTTAAATGTCATAGATACGTTTAAGCAATGTTGTTAATTTTTTTTTTCAAAGAAAAGGAGCATGTTATCATTTCCATTTAGAGAAAAATACTACAAACGTTAGCCAAGTACGATAATGTAACAGTTTATTCCCAAAAATGTGAAAATTGAAATAATAATACTGTATAAAAAAGGGGATATGATAAAGGCCATTATTTTGCCCCTGAAATTGCAAAAAATATAAAAGTTTATGTCAATTTTATTGATAAATGAACAGGTTAATATAATCTGGAGACTTCAGTGTATAACGATCACTTATGATTGTCTATTAAAGACATGTGTATGCAATTTGACTCGCCTATGCGTTTTTCAAATTTCTTTTTCATTTTTTTTGACAGTTTTTGTATATTATAGATTATACATGGTTTACCTTGTTGAGTGTGTTTTAATGTGTATGGCAGACAATCCACGTTAGCTGGTTGTAAGGTGTTTACTATTCTGCTTTCTCCTATATTACACGTGACTTGCAGTGCTTTCGGGCACTTTGATTTGATGGCTGTTGCGGGAAGATATATTCTGTAAGCTTGACCTGGTGCTTGAGATGTTGATTTTAGTTCTGTTGAATGGTCTGCTTGCTGAAAAATTTCAGAGGTTGTATTACATATCTTAGATGACTTAACATTACTTTTTGGTCCGCAATGCTCTTCAACTTCCTACATTATTTGGCCTTTTGACTTTTTTATACGAGCGTCTGAGAAAAACTATAAACCTGATATCTTTGATGGGTTTATTTTGGTATCTTCCGCTTCTATTTAACAAATTAAAATAAAGAAAGGATGGATTTAAGTATTACAAGTGCATTAAAAATATTATAGATAGAACAAACAGCACAGACATAACATGTCTTTTTTTTAAATAAATTGATGAGTTCAGATATAAGTATGACAAATCAACCCATTATAAGTTTCCGAGGCCTTGGGTACCGCCAAACTGCGAATTTACTTCTAATAAATACTAAATAAGGTAAAAAATAAACCTTTAACATTGTTCAACTCCTTCTTTTACCATATATTTTATGACAGAGCTAGCTAATAATTACTGTATTTGATAAATCAAACAATCGCACAATGTCTAGTACGTGGTTTATGTATTTCTGTTATTTTGTATTTTTAAATAAAATTGTAATAAAAGAAAAGAAAGACAAAGTTTTCAATACATAAACTGAATTTTCAGCTCTATTAAGGATTTACATATAAAACAAAAGTAGATGAATGTCTGACACCATTCTTTGTATGATGATTAATGGACCTTAAATTTGAACACTTTTTTTCACCTTGACGGTATTTGATGACAGAGATTGTAGCAAAAGGTAGGAACCGCATGGGAGAAATCAAAGAAACACACACTGTCTTTGTGTTATACATTGTATGTATATTTTGTATTACTTGTATCCATTAAGGTAACACGATAGTGACGATACAGAATGGCATATCTCCCGATTTCTAAACTTTTTGGCACACTTGTACTTTGATTCGAGTTACATCGGAATATGAAATAAAATATGGGGGTCACCATTTTTGTTTTCGTGTAATTTTCATAAGAAAACGTCAATTGTGGCGACAAATTTAAAAAGATATATAGGGGAAATGCCTTTTTTTTTCGACTTGTCCTTTTAGATTTTTCAATTGATGGCTATTTTCTTATATACAAAGATAGATTAAAAACTAACATAATATCCAGGATTGCATACTGAATGCATGCATGTATAGAAACACATTTGTTTTTTAGATAAATTACTTCAAAGTTGACCGATACGCTTAGAAATTGACCGAAAACATGTAAGTAAACGTTATTGAAAACTGTATGTAAAATTTCACTTAAAAAGACAAAGTTCAACATTATTTCAATCGTGAAAAAAAATCCTGATAATATGTATATGCACCCTCAAGATAAGTAAAACACTCTGCGCAATATAAAAGTTCCAGCTTGAAATTGTACATGTAGGAGGAGTAAGCCTGAGTTTGCACTCTGCGTGCCTTCCTGCATTAGTCACGATTATCTACATTGTAGATGTCCGTTTTGTTTTGTTGTCGTTAATTGGCCAGTTGCTGTCTAAAATGTATATCCCGCATCTCCATTTATTCACACAAAGAAATACCAACACTTTGTTTTACATACATACTTGTATACTTGTTATGAAAACTCCTTATAAGACTGCGAATGCCCTCTGGTTTTTTCCGACGCCTATGTGAGCAATATGCCCCTCCCAAAAAAGGCAACTTTGTTAATCGTCTTTCAGTCGTATTGTCTCCTCACTTTGTAAAATGGTGCGTTTTTCGTCATCTGTACTTGTACATTATGTCCAACACAAAACACCAAAAACACACCAATCTCCGAATACCCAAGCGTAAATTAATATGAATATAAAATCTAAATGTTTTTAAGATCTCGTTGTTTTTTTTTAGTTTGTTTTTACCGTTTGAATAATAAGGGTTAATGAAAATATCTCTTTAAAATTTGTTTGTGTTCGAAGCGCTTTTCTGGATTTACTTTCATCAAAGCACCGATCAATCATTTATTGTGGGACCACGGTTTTTTTAATAAATCGTTTGATTGTAAATTTCAGAATGGAAAAGAAAGAAAAAATATGTAACGGGATCTGAATTATTTAATTTTATTTTGTTCTTACCAAGTGCCATTAATTTTTAAGCCTTTGTTAACTTTCTCCTCATTCCGATGTTGCTGTCCTTGTAGACTGCGCTCATACGAATACAAAACTAGCACTTTATTTTATTGAAATGCTTCCGAAACCATATCGGATTTTTTCTGTACAGTCCAATAAATTTCAGAGACTGTTTACACTTGAAACACAGGGAAAGTTGTTCGGCCAAATAACCAAGTTGCACTATTCTTTTTTTTTTCATTCCTTGCCAACAAACTACCTAGTTTCTGCCTGAGTTTGCTTGTACGAGGCTTTTTCGCCTAATTCTATCCGTATTCTTTTCCAAATAAATTTCCTTTTTTCTATTTTTCTCGCGTCGTTTTTTGGCGCACCATTTTGAAACGAAGGGGCTTCTTAACGAAATTGAATTAATAGTGGTACAATTCCCCGTATTTTCACACATCAGCCTGCCTTTCTATAAATTGGATTTCTACTTTCAAAACAAATTTTTATCGGGAAACGGTGTGCATCATAAATAAGAATTCATTGCAAAAAAACAAAAAAGAATAAAAAAAAATCCGTCTGTTATGTATAGGAACATACAAAGTTAAATCGTACAAATGCTTACTTATCAATAGAAACAGAGCGTTTAAAAAGTATATTTTTTTAAATGTAAAGAATGAGCAGAAGAATTGTCGGAAGACAACAAAGCAATCAATGTAAAAAAATGTATTGCATCAAATCTCTCGGCACTCTGCATCTGGGCAAAGTTACAGTTAAAAAATTTCACAATTTCAGTTTTTACCGTAACTTCAGATTTTCGAACATAAACCAATCTGGGGATTTTCTTAAACGATGCGCCAATGTCTCCCCTACAACACCTATTTAGTCACAATCTCATAAAATTGGTCCAAAATTAACTTAAATTGGCCTACCCCCCTACTCTCATTTAGTGAATTTCACAATTTCATTTTTTTCAGATTTTCGAACATAAACCACTCTTGAGATTTTTCTAAACGATGCGCCAATGTCTCCTCTACAACACTTATATAGTCGTTGCCTGTCACAATCTCTTTAAATTGGTCCAAACTGTTCTTTTAGTGCCCTACACCCCTAATCTTATTTTGTCAATTTCACAATTTCAGTTTTTAAATCGTAACTTCAGATTTTCGAACATAAACCACTCTGGAGATATTCTTAAACAATGCGCCATTGTCTCTTCTACAACACCTATATAGTTGTTGTCCGTCACAATCTCTTTAAAATGGTCAAAAATTTACTTTTAGTGCCCTACCCCCCCCCCCCCCCCCCCCCCCCCACCCCCCCCCCCCCCCCAATCTAATTTTGTCAATTTCACAATTTCTTTTTTTTGACCGTAACTTCAGATTTTCGAACATTAACCACTCTGGAGATTTTCTTAAACGATGCGCCATTGTCTCCTCTACAACACCTATATAGTTGTTGCCCGTCACAATCTCTTTAAAATGGTCCAAAATTTACTTTTAGTGCCCTACCCCCTAATCTCATTTAGTCAATTTCACAAATTTCAGTTTTTTACCGTTACTTCAGATTTTCGAACATAAACCACTCTGGAGATTTTCTTAAACGATGCGCCATTGTCTCCTCTACAACACCTATATAGTCGTTGCCCGTCACGATCTCTTGAAATTGGTCCAAAATTAACTTAAATTGGCCTACCCCCTTAATCTCATTTTGTCAATTTCACATTTCAGTTTTTAACCGTAACTTCAGATTTTCGAACATAATCCACTCTGGAGATTTTCCTGAACGATGGGCCAATATCTCCTCTACAACAGCTATATAGTAGTTGCCCGTCACAATCTCTTTAAAATGGTCCAAAATTAACTTAAATTGGCCTAACCCCCTACTCTAATTTTGTCAATTTCACAATTTCATGTTTTTGACCGTAACTTCAGATTTTCGAACATTTACCACTCTGGAGATTTTCTTAAACGATGCGCCATTGTCTCCTCTACAACACCTATATAGTTGTTGTCCGTCACAATCTCTTTAAAATGGTCCAAAATTTACTTTTAGTGCCCTACCCCCTAATCTCATTTAGTCAATTTCACAAATTTCAGTTTTTTACCGTTACTTCAGATTTTCGAACATAAACCACTCTGGAGATTTTCTTAAACGATGCGCAATTGTCTCTTCTACAACACCTATATAGTCGTTGCCCGTCACGATCTCTTGAAATTGGTCCAAAATTAACTTAAATTGGCCTACCCCCTTAATCTCATTTTGTCAATTTCACAATTTCAGTTTTTAACCGTAACTTCAGATTTTCGGACATAATCCACTCTGGAGATTTTCCTAAACGATGGGCCAATGTCTTCTCTACAACAGCTATATAGTAGTTGCCCGTCATAATCTCGTTAAAATGGTCCAAAATTAACTTAAATTGGCCTACCCCCTACTCTCATTTAGTCAATTTCACAATTTCAGTTTTTTAACCGTGACTTCAGATTTTCGAACATAAACCAATCTGGAGATTTTCTTAAACGATGCGCCATTGTCTCCTCTACAACACCTATATAGTTGTTGCCCGTCACAATCTCTTTAAATTGGTCCAAAATTATTTAAAATTGTCCTACCCCCTAATCTCATTTTGTCAATTTCACAATTTCAGTTTTTTAACCGTAAATTCAGATTTTCGAACATAAACCACTCTGGAGATTTTCCTAAACGTTGCGCCAATGTCTCCTCTACATCACCTATAGGCAGTCGTTTCCCGTCAAAATCTCTATAAATGGGTCAACAATCAACTTAAGGTATCCACCTTTTCGTTTTTAATTACAGTTTTTTCAACCTAACTTTAGATTTTTAACATAAACCATCCTGGAGTTTATCTTAATAGAAACGCTAATAACTCCGGTGCATCACCTATGCAGTCGTGTACCGTCACAATCTCTATAAATGGGTCAAAATCAACTTAATTATGCCCTCTTCCCCCTTTTCGTTTTCACAATTTCAGTTTTTTAAACTTAACTTCAGATTTTTAAACATAAACCATTCTTGAGTTTGTCTTATTAGATACGATAATGTCTCCTCTATGTTACTTTTACAGTCGTTGCCTGTCACAATCTCTATAAATTGGTCAAAATCTTTATGGTATCCCTTTTGTTTTAACTTTTTTTATTCGTTTTTGTTTAATATTTTGAATATTCTCATAATTGTCCGCTAGGTCATTGTAATTGTTCGCTAGCTTGAAAAAAACGTGATTGTCTTATGTAAAATGTGGTTTTCAGTTATACCTCCTAATTGTTCGCTGGCTAATTGTTCGCTACAATTGTTCGTTAGCTTGAGTCAAGTAAAAAATGATTACCAAATATAAAAGGATTTTTATTATTTGAAAATTTCGCGATTCAAGTACAGGGTAGGGTCTATATGTATTGTGTCGACAACCACCAGAAACACGATGGAATCTGCTGCATTGACTGATATCTATGAACATATGTGTGATTTGTTTTACTCATTTTTGTTCCTTCATTTGAATCGCATCTATGGAAAGTTTTTGTTTTGTGATTGAATATGATACGTATAGAAAGTGACGCTAAAACGAAGGTATTTTTAATATATAATAATATATATTTGCAAATTTGAAATAAAGATACATTTATCTTTCAACTATTTTATACCAGACTGAGGCAAATTGTATGTTTAATTCGTTCTAATTAAGTTATTATAAAACATCATGTTTTACATTTGCCGTCAATTTCATTAATGTCGACGACAGCAGGAACGATAACTAATGGTAATTCAACTAAAGAAAGACAGTAATTCCATTGCGCAGATTGGTTTTTGATATAAACAGATTTTTAGATGTAAAAAAGTTATTCTACATGTATTCCATTACCAATTACACTTTTTAATACATTTCAATCTCTTTGCAGAAATAAAAGAAGAATGTGCCTGAGGATCGAATGCCCCCGCTCAAGCTTTGCAATTTTCCAAGTCAAAAAGGGGCATAACTCTAGAACCATAAATGACTCACAGCCCAAATTTGAACTCTGTGTGCATATTATGGTTCTTAGCATGGTGTATGAGTTTCATAAATTTGGATGAGATAAACTTAAGCAAGAATGCAGAAACGAAAAACAATGGATTAGAAAAACTTGAGTTAGCGGTGCGGAAACAAAAATGGGACGGGCGGACGGAAAGACCGAAGAACAGACGGCCAAGGGTAACACTTAATGCCCCCATTGCCTACATTGCGGGTGCATAAAAATATATATAGAATAAAACAAATACAACAGAAACAGTATATAAATTAATCTTTACCCCGTACACCACTGAACACTGAGGAATCTGTGTAAAATTTCTAAATGTAATTGAAAACAGATCTTCTGCATTGCTGATCACCTGATGAACATTATTGGTGTTGGCAGTATCTAGAAAAAATAGAAAAGAAAACAGAATTACGTATACACAAAAAAAAGTCGGAAGTTATGTGTTCAGTTAATTCTTGTTGTTTTGTTAATGTTTTATTTTGTTTTGTTATTGAAAATTGAATTTGGAAGAATTTGCATGAGGTCAAACACTTTTTTTGCTACACATTTCTTTTTTACATTTCTGAGAAGTATGTGATTTAAGCAACTGTTTTGTCCTAAAAAGAAGCAGTAGAAAGTCAAATAAAGGACAGAGTATGATACATTTGTAAGAACAATATTTGTCATAATTTTGCTATGACATTTTGTATCAGTTATAAGGTTTTCATGATCATTTATGTTTTAAAATTGAGATAACAGGTACTCACATTAAACGATGTCAAGAAAAGACTATTGCAAAATTGTTTCGTAAAAATAAATAATGTTTGATTGATTTAAAAATGTTTTTAATTTTTGTGTTTTTTTTTTGTTTTTTTTTGTTAACTCGCAAACATTGCTTGTGAGTGGAATATATAAAATCATGCATATTACATGCGCCAATGAATATTGATAATGTTTTTGAAGTTTTAACATGCGTTATACATTTGCGAGTCTTGCAACCACTTGAAAACCGAAAAAAATCTATATCTTCAAGACAACTCTTAAAAGTAGCCATTTTCCTGTCGTCACATCTACAATTATTTTTAAAAATAAGTTTATAATATTATAATTATCTATTACATCTACTGCGTTTTAGAATATACACTTGTGGAAAATTAAAAGACAGTCTTATGCTTGATGACATCATTCTTCTTTGACGCCATAAGGAAGTTTTCAACTTACCAAAAAGGCTTATTTCTAGAACAGTTTATCTAAATTAACAAAGAGCACAATCGTCACACAAATATGATTTGCCAGGGAGTAGATAAACAAGACATAATTAGATATAAGAAGATGTGGTATGAGTGCCAATGAGACAACTCTCCATCCTAGTCAAAATTTATAAAAGTAAACCATTATAGGTCAAAGTACGATCTTCAACACGGAGCCTTGGCTCACACCGAACAGCAAGCTATAAAGGGCCCTAAAAATTACTAGTGTAAAACCATTCAAACGGGAAAACAAACGGTCTAATCTATATAAAAAAAAGAGAAACGAGAAACTTTTATGAACTACATCAACAAACGACAACTACTGAACATCAGATTCCTGATTGTACAATCAAAAAAACAAAAACAAAACAAAAAAATGAAAATTATATATGATTCCACATTTAATTCTGTAAACTTGCAAAATTTTGACTACATTCGATTTGTATATATCTTTCAGACCCCAAATTGTACATTTGCTCTTAGGAAGTTAGAAATAGTGACTTACATGTAGCACACCCTCTTTATACCTCTACATGAGACCTTATTACCAATGTTCTATGCCAAATATTAAAAAAGTAATTTTACTAAAAAATAAATAAAATAAAATCAGCTTGTTAAGAATATATCTAATTTGTAGTTTTGTGAAAAGACACTTTTCCGCATTTTAAAATTTTACATCTGAAAGGTTCATTTTCCGGTCACGATCTAAAGCTAAAATTTTGCCAGTTGGCAATTTCGTATTGTTTTAAAAAGTAGTTTTAACAAACTAACTGATTTTGATATTTTACAATATTAATGTGTTCTTTATTGGTACTTACACTCAAATGATACTATTGTCATACTCAGCACATGTTCATATCTGGTGTTGCCATGGCGACACTCGTATTGCACTTTGTCTCCATCCTTATTGTAAGCGGAAGTGGTTAATGTGTACATCCGGTGTACTGTATGCTGCTTTTCTAATTTGTCTATATTGTTTACAGGTTCTCCGTTTAGAGAATGAATGTCAATACTACCGTCACTCTTTGATTGGCTGTTATCCGTACTCCCCTTGGCAGACAATGAACAAATCAAATCAAAATTTGTTCCGAATGTGTTTGTATTTGATGAAAGGCTCCAAGATGGAAAACCTGAAAGAAAGCGTAGGTGTAGATTAACTTGCACCAGAGAATCAGTTCTGTCGATATTTTGCATAGGTATTAATGTGACCGACATCTTAAACCAAAACACGTCCGACAGGGAAATATCAGTACATGTTGATATGAACAATATTTTAATGCAGCCAAAACACCAACGACACCTCACTTTTATGCTCAGAATTGAAGTGTATTATTAAAGTCCAAGAGAAAACAGATGGTGTCAGTACTGCAATATGATTGAGGATGAGAAACATTTTCTTTTGTATTGCAGGAAAAACTCTACCACCATAAGACCAGCTTTTATTAAAAAATTGATTGAGGCAAATTGTATTTAATGACCTAAATGATGATGGTAAAATGAAATTTATTCTCTGCCCATCAATACAAAAACAAGCAGAAAGCATCGATTCCTTTATAAGGCAGTCATTAGTACTAAGGGTAGGGGATTAATCATTGAATTATTAACTATTATACTAATATAATTTAATTTTGGATGTAACACGTCTTCTGATTGGCTGAAAGTGTTTTGTCTATCAGCTCATAGACATAATTTTGTCATGTGACCGCGACGTCTTCAACGTTTTTATCATGATTTACACCTTTTTAGAAATACATTATAAGGAATGACTTTAATATTTTTTCTGTTTATTCGAAATAACATAAAAAATGTGGTGCACACTTCTAAATAACCCGCTACGCGAGTTATTCAGTGTGCACCACATTTTTTATGTTATTTCTTCATAGACAGAAAAAAATATTAGTCGTTCCTTAAATAATTATATGTATTAATTAGTTTGTTCATTATAACTATATATGCTTTCTTCTTGTCCTGTATATTATACTATGTTTTGTTTGTTTTAGTCACAAATCATATAAGTTGATTTATATGACAATAAAGTTTGAATTTTAATTGAAGTCAAATCTTACAAGACAACGATTTGTATATACGTACCTGTAAAATATATTGAAATACTAACAGATCAAATATCAAATTGTAGATATTATTATGTTTTTCAGTACGGGCTGGACAATTATACTATCAATATATTATGTCCCAGGTACGGGGTACCATTTAGATTTAAACACACACTGTGTTTAGTGTTCTTTAACAAGTAACCACCAGGCTGAAGCTAGCGAACAATAACTAGCGAACAATAAACCAGCGAACAATAATGCGATATATCTAAAAACCGAAAAAAATGAATAAGACAGCAACGACCGTTAAATGAAAAATATTTAAACAGGTAGAAATTCCGTCCAAATATTGCAATTTCAACTCTATCATGAAATGGTATTTATCCCATCCATTAATAAAACAAGTCACATCTCTTTTTAGGATAATATTCAGTACCACAGTAAATCTGCATCTGTCAAGGGATTATTTGTAGGTGTAAGACCACTAATGCACCCACTTCAATTTAGAACGTAAGTAAAAGTAGTCCTTCCCTGTAAAATACAGCACCATTGATGTCATTGTTTAATTGAACTAAGATACACATTTGCAGAAATTGGGGTTGGCCTATTCCATGGCTTCTAGAGAAAAATAATGAGGGGTGTCACGGGGTATGACTATATAGGTCTTGTAGAGGAGAAACAGGAGCATCTTTTGCGCAAGGTATCGAAGGGCGCTATGTTCAAAAATCTGAAACTAGAGCTCAAAATTTAAAAAAAAACATTGTTAAAAACAGGGGGGTTGGCCTATTCCATGGCTTCTAGAGAAAAATAATGAGGGGTGTCACGGGGTATGACTATATAGGTCATGTAGAGGAGAAACAGGCGCATCTTTTGCGCAAGGTATCGAAGGGCGCTATGTTCAAAAATCTGAAACTAGAGCTCAAAATTTAAAAAAAAAATGTTAAAAACAGGGGGGTTGGCCTATTCCATGGCTTCTAGAGAAAAGTAATGAGGGGTGTCACGGGGTATGACTATATAGGTCTTGTAGAGGAGAAACATGCGCTTCTTTTGCGCAAGGTATCGAAGGGCGCTATGTTCAAAAATTTGAAACAAGAGCTCAAAATTTGAAACAAAATTGTTAAAAACAGGGGGGTTGGCCTATTCCATGGCTTCTAGAGAAAATAATGAGGGGTGTCACGGGGTATGACTATATAGGTCTTGTAGAGGGAAACAGGCGCCTCTTTTGCGCAAGGTATCGAAGGGCGCTATGTTTAAAAATCTGAAACTAGAGCTCAAAATTTAAAAAAAAAATTGTTAAAAACAGGGGGATTGGCCTATTCCATGGCTTCTAGAGAAAAATAATGAGGGATGTCACGGGGTATGATTATATAGGTCTTGTAGAGGAGAAACAGGCGCATTTTTTGCGCAAAGTATCGAAGGGCGCTATGTTCAAAAATCTGAAACTAGAGCTCAAAATTTGAAAAAAAAATTGTTAAAAACAGGGGGGTTGGCCTATTCCATGGCTTCTAGAGAAAAATAATGGTGGGTAGTAGTGTAAAAAGGGGGATTCTGCCGCACTTGCCATTTTTAAGCACAAATCCTGCATAGGGACCCCAACCTCAAACATAAAATGCAAATTCATTGTGTTTGAACTAGTCTAAGGGTAGAAACAAGAATATGGCTTTTTGTAAACAATGGTAGAGACACCTTAAAGGGATGTAATCCTAGAGTTAGATACAAAAATATGGCTTTCGTACAAACGATGGAGGAACTCAGAAGTTCAAAAATCGTAGACGACGATTTTATTAATGATAATGTTTTCGAGGAAAAGGCAAAGGACCAGAGCCTGGAAACCCTAAAATGGAAGGAACTCCCAACCTGGGTAAAATATAAAATCCTAGAAGTGGTAGAAGTAGATGGGAATTTTGGGAGGAGTAAGATCCTCACCTTGAAAAACAGAGAAGGAGAAACGACAAGGGTATGGACCTGCAGTAATCTGAACAGAGAGAAGGAACCCTTGGAAGGAGCTTTCGTGAGAAGTACAGGCTTAAAAGTTAGTAAAAAGACCAAACAGGAGAACATTTCTTGCGATCTTGTAAGAAATTAATTCAAAATAAAAAAAATAAAAAATGGGGTGGATGGGGTACAAAAAAATTTTTCCAATCTGATATTTCTGCCGGATCGGAAAGTTTTTTTTTTTTTTTTTTCTTTTTTATGCTTGAAACGGAGCACATCGTGAAGTGAAGAAGAATGGAACACATCGTGAAACGATGTGTGTAGTGAAGCGTAATGGAATGATGTGTGACGTTTTTACGGCGCATGCGCATTAAGGTCCTCACTAAAAGTGGTTGAAGGTTGTCGCAGCTGATCTTTCTCGTCATAGTAGTTCTTGAGGCAGCTTGTGATCTTACCAAACTCAGCATCATCAATTTGTTCATCATCAGCCAAAGCAGTACTAATACATTGTTCAACCAAGGATTTTGTGGACTCTGCCAATCGCAAGGTGTCGCGGTGATTTTTTTTCTTTTTCGTGATACGCCTTGAGATCAGTGTGAGTACCATCACGCCAGTGGCACTCAAGCAAGCAAGGGATCCTAGGGGAAGGGAGGCTATAATACCTATACCGGTCAAAGCTGAACCCATGGTGCAGCTGGTCAACATCAAACTGGCTACGGAACACACACCCTGTGCTATAGACACTACTTTATCGAGTCGTTTGTAGATCTTCAAGGTACGTTGATACTTAAGAATATTCGCTTTGAGTTGGTCTTCCATACATTCGACTCTGGTCTGCCGGTATCCAGAATCTAAATCATCCATTTATTTATAGGAGAATACCGAGGAGGGGAATGTTTTTGAAGGGCTGTTAGCACCTAAGATCAGACCGGCTCCGTCGTGGAATTGCTGACCACGCTTTAAGTAGAGTCCATCACCATAGGTTATCCGGGCGTTTGAGGGTTTGAGGTAGAGACCATTGCCACTAGGTTTCACGGTACAAACACACCCACCACGTTTCAGGTACAATCCAGACCCTAAGGCCTTGTTGATGGCTACACCACACAGACCGCTCAAGGCTCCAACACCCAAGGCAGGTAGAATGGTCTTAGCTACCATGGGAAGTGCCCTCATTACCAGCCCTGCCAACATGGGTAGGAATCCACCTACTTTTTGCATGTTTTCCTTCATTTGGGCGGCACGCAGCTACAGATTCATACCACCAGTACCTTTCTGAAGAACCTTAATAATCTTTTGAATCTGCCGAAAGGTGAGCCACATCTTGTGTTCACCTTGCAGGTTTGCGTGGGACAAACGAATGGAGACCGGACAACCTTGCTTGACAGCCCGTTGTAGTTTATCAGCTTGACCTTTTGTCAAGTTCAAACCATGTTCGTGATAAGTCATTTATTTATACCTCACGAAGATGAAAGCGGATGGAGAGATGTTCACCCCTGAAATCGATGGGCCTACCATCTTGATCGGTGAGATACGTTTGCATGCGATTGATGGTTCGCAAGGTCACCGGCAAGTATACTAGATTCTTGGGGGTTTGAATGATCTTCATACCAGGACCGTCTGCGGGAAAGAAGCTGTAGATGGTAGACTGCTGTGTACCATTCACATAACTCCATTGATGATATCATTATTCACTAGAATGCTGTTGATGCTGATGATATTTACAATGTGTTCCCCTTCTGTATAGCCGTCTGTGATCATATCGAATGTGTAAATCTGCCGCTTGAATCCCAAGACGGTGTTGATGCTATTGACAACGTTGAAGTCTACTCGATAGTGTCTGGCTAGGGTTAGCGTTGCTCTAAGGGTCGCCCGGTTGGCATCGATGATGATCTTTGTTTTGTGTTTGTTGAGCCGTAGCCGTAGCCGCCGCTGGATCTCATTGTTGATGTCTTCGATGTCATAGGAACCTGTGCTCAGTGCGATGGGAAACCAGTTGGCACCATCGTCAGCGGAGTAGCGGAAGGAATTGTTACCTGTATGAATGTTGGGGATGGAGTTATAGGTTTCCAGGTTCACTAATGCCATCTCATAGGTCTTGGATTCCTTGAGTTCCAGTGGGGATTGAACCAGGTAAGGATTTG